GTTTATGTCTTCAATTTTGTAATTTTGCTAGTTTTGAAAATAATTGATTCACATATAACTCAATTTAAACGAATCCAATTGGGACTAGATTTTTTTTTGTTCATAACATGTATTTTTCATTGTAATTTTTAGATTTGAGCTTAACGCAAATATTTTCATATTTGATAATTTTTATAATTCCTTTGATTTAAGATTGATGAGCACATATTGTTTTTTTCAATTTATCTTTTAGCTTAATTAGAACCTCGTTCTATTATAAATAACTATTGTAAACTTTAGAAAAAAAAAAAAAAAAACCAATTTATTGTGGAGAATTAGTATTATTACCAAAGAGAATATCTTTTTATTAAATTTGTTGTTGTTGTTTGTGTTCGAATGTTCATCTCATTACCTTCCCTGCATCAATACCTCTGAGACCAATTACCGTAAGGGGCCTATGGTGGCTGTATTGCTGTCAAGGGAAAGACAGGGCAAGGGTAGTTAAGTAATTCATTTTACATCATGAAGGGCAATAGAGTAATTTACTTATCAAAGTTAACATCGTCAATATTCTACTTGTTAAATATAGTAACTATATATTTTATCTATTATACATACCATATTATATTCATTACTATACTTAGATTTATCTCCTTCTATATGAAGCAATCTTGTATACATTATTACAACATTTAATATGATACAAATTTCTCTTTCTCTCTCTCTCTTACATATTCTAATATAGTATCAGAGTTAGGTTAACTACTAAGTAATTTTTTGTATAAATCCTGCGTTGGGATTGATCTCTCATATTAGTTAGTCAATACGGCCGGATATCAATCCAAATAACTATGTTAAAAAACGGCTTTTCTAAAACCGGTTTTCATGAAAAAAAAAATTTTGAACAAAAAATATTTATGTTGAAAATATAAATTAAAAAAAAATTAATAATGAAAATCCTCTCCTCTTTTCCTTGCAAAAATTTCTCCAACTTCTAAAATTTCTAAGTGTTCAAGTCTATCAGAATCTTAAAGTCTGTAACATAATCTTTGTAAGTATACTACATATTAGTATGCAGTGTGAGTAGTCTCTATTTTTCCTTAGATATTTCAAAAGGGTAACTCTTATGTTCTAAAATTTATTTTCTTTTTGGAAAAACTAAGTTTATGGAATGCTTGCTTGCTCATTAATATTACATGCTTTGAACCTTCATAGTATCTATCGTTTTCTATTTCCTTATTGAGTGACTTTAGCTAAAGAACTCGTATGAGCCATGGTTTGGCATTGAAGGTAAATTGTAGGCAGAAAGGGAAATGCAAAGAATAGAAAATAAGAATATACTATGTTAAATGAGGGTTAGCTTCAAGGTGGGAGTACATGTAATGAAAGTAAACATTGCTTAAAAATAGTTTTACCAAAAAAGAAAAAGAATTTAGAATATAAGGAGAGCAACCTGAGTAGAAATATCAAGAAAATATTTTTCATATAAGAATTTTAAAATCAAAATTTTATACTTTTAGAAGAAGAACTTGGAATTAAAATCAAATTCAGTACTGAGCTTATACAAGAATTAGAAGATTAAAAATTAAGATATCAATTTCTGTTATCATTAGCCTCCGGTAGATCTCTAGTACATTATAGTTTGAAAATCACACAAATAAATAGACAGATAACTATAAAACAATAAGCCTTACAACTAGCCATTTAACAACTTGAGGATTTATTAGCATAACTGTATAATTAATCAGATAATTCGCAGCCCAGCTTCAAAATAGTGGTAAACCACTAAGCCTTCGTTTGGGAAGTGGGTTGGTTTTTTGGCTTTTTAATTTTTTTAGCTATTTTAGCCTGGGCTACAAAGCTTGGTTTGGGAAGGACTTTTTGGCTTTTTAAATTTTTTTTGTGAGAAAAAAGTGTAATGATTATGGGTTGGATGTGATGTTTTGTTTATTGTGGCTAAATTAGCATATTTTATCTTTTGTGACTAATATAGCACCAAACCTCCTTATCTTTTGTAACTCACCCTAAAAAAATGTGTACCTTATTTAGACATATCTAAATAGTAAAATATTTGTAAAAAATATTTTAAAATTTTAATAAATATACAAAAATATGAAAAATATATTAAAATTTTTGTATTTTTTAAAATATTTTTGGTATTTAAAAAATTTACAAATATTATAATTTTTAAATATATTTATGTTAAGTATATCCAAAAATTTAAAGAAATTACTTAAAATATCAAAAAAAATAAGAAAATACAAAAAATAAAAAAATAAAATTTTACGAAAAATCGGCCCTATTGTCTACGGATGAGCCGAGTCCTCTCTCTTCTCTCTATCTCTATCTCATGTAGAGATGGCAATTTAAACCCGGCCCGACGGGGACCTGATCCCCTGACCCCGAAATAAGTGATTTTTCCTCAAAAAATATCCCCGCGGGGATGGGGATGGTATTAAAAAATCACTCTCCGATCAATTTCAGGCCGGGGACGGGGATAGGCTCGTCGGCCCCGGCCCCGCCCCGGAATTTCCCCGATTCATCCCCGCCTCTGATGATTAATTGTATTATTAAATATATGATTCATCCCCGCCTCCGATGATTAATTGTATTATTAAATATATTTTGTATTATATTTTGTATTATATAAATATTAGTTGTACATGTACTTTTGATCTCAACTCTCTCATTTCCTCTCATTTCCTATGTGTCTCTCTCTCTCCTCGACCGTGGCCCTCATCTCTCTCTCCCTCAAGTCTCAGAGGCCTCGTTTGGAAACATGCTAATTTAGTAACTTTTTGGTTATTTGGCTAAAAAGGTAGGTAAAAAAAACTTGTATGTTTGGGATGACTTTTTGGTTAATTACGAAAAGATGTGCAAAAAGTACAGAGAAAAGAGAATCTTTAACTTTTTGGTATGAGTTGTTGACTTTTTGACTAATTTAGTAACTTTTTGACTAATTGACTAAAATAGCCTCTTGCCAAACGAGGCAGTCTCATCTCTCTCCCTCCCTCTCCTCTCCCTCTCCCCCTCTTCCTCTCCATCTCCCTCCGTCCGTGAAGCGTTCCATCGTCAGATCCCTCCGTCCGTGAAGGCTTCACGGTGAAGCCCTCCGTCCATCAGATCGTGAAGCTTTCCGTCAGATCGTGAACACTCTCCCTTTCCTGCGTCCGTGAAGCCCTGCGTCCGTCAGATCGTGATTCATGAAGAAGAAGAACAGATCTGAAGAAGAAGAATAGATCTGATTGTTGTGCGTATGTATATATCTATGATTTTTGATGATTGTTATATGTATATAATTTTTTTTTATGATTGTTATATATATATATATATATATCTATGACAGATTTTTTTTTTTTTTTTTTTTTGTTTTTTTTTTAATCTTCTTAATTTTTCCTTTAAAATTGGGGCTTTTTTTGTTCTTTGCATTGAAAGATAACAACTTGTTGGTTTCTCTCTTTTTTGTTTTGGTTTTTATCAATTTTCTGAACCATTGATTCGATTGAATTCTGAATATTTGAGGTGATTGGTGTTTTTCGAGTTTGTTCATGCTACGATTCAATCGGGGATTCGATTGGTATTCTCTAATTTCAGAAGATTAGGGTTTTCCCTTTTTTGCGTTTCATGCCAGGATCTCGGTGATTTTTTGATTTCGGTTTATGGTTCAATTGAGATTTGATTGTTGCTCTCCAATGAGAAATTTAGGGCTTTTCCTTTGTTCGTTTCGTTGAAAGATGAAAACTTGGTTGTTTCGTTTTTGGTGTTTATCAATTCTACAAACTATTATATTCAATTAGTTTCTGAATATTTGAGGTGATTGTATGTGGATGATGTTTTTCAAGTTTGTTCATGCTTATACGCTATGATTCAATTGGGGATTCGATTGGTATCCCCCGATTTCAGAAAATTAGGGTTTGCCTCTTTTTTTTTTTTCGTTTCATGGAAAGATTTATGTGATTTTTCGTTTTATGTCTATGGTTCAATTGGGAATGTGATTGTTACCCTCCAAGGAGAAAGTTGAGGTCTCTCTCATTCTTTTCATCAAAAGATAATAACTTGGTAGTTTCCTTTTTTGGAGTTTATCAAATTTCTGAAACATTGATTTGATTGAATTCTGAATATTTGAGGTGTGATTGTATGTGGATGGTGTTTTTCGATTTTGTTCATGCTTATACATTACGATTCAATCAGGGCTTCAATTGGTGTCCTCTAATTTCAGAAAATTAGGGTTTACCCTTTGTGTGTTTCATGGAAAGATTTTGTTGTATATTGGACGTTGATTGATTGTTTGAACATTTGATTTGAATTTTATTTTTTAATTTTATAAAGTATAGATTCTATTAAATCTGGATTTTTTTTTTCATTTTAGAAAAAAATACCAGAGATTTGTTGGTAAAGCACATGCCTTGAAATTTTTAGAAAGTGAAGAAGAGGATTGAATTAAATGTGGATTTTTTCTATACTAGGAAATGTTGATTTGATCAAACCTGGATTTTTTTTTTCATACTACTAAAATATCAGAGTTTTGTTGGAGAAGCAAATGACTTATAATTTATCTCGTGTAAATATTTACCCTCTGATAGGTGATGCTTGTATTGAATGTAATTACTTGTTCAATCTTTAATATAGAAGCCCAAAGAATTTGTTTATTGATTTTTCTCCTTTTTATGCTCATTTATGTATTTGTAATGTTGTGAAGTTATGATAAAATTGCTTGCATTTGGGTCTTTAAATATATCAGGCTTTCAGGTTTTGGGTTGTTGTAGGTGCTTATATCCAAATAATCTCATCTGGGATTCGAAACGGCTCTGCAGGGATATGATAGAGATGTAAGCAATTTTGAAGTTCATGTTGATTTTACTCTTCTCCCTCATTATATGTATGAAATTTTGTGTATTTTTACATTGCTTTCTAATAAGTTATTTTTGTGTAGGACTATGAAGATTTGGATGAGTATGAAGAGGATGGTGAAGAGCAATAAGAGGATGGGATTGGTGAAGGGGAATATGAAGAAGAAGAAGCTCCACAAACCACGGAGGAGGAACTGGAATACCTTGAATTGAGGCAGAGATTAAAAGAAGCTATCAGAAAGCAGATTAAAAAGGAATCTGGTTCTGGCCATGCAAATTCCCGAGAGAAAAAGAAGAAATTGCCATATGATAAGTGAGAACAATCTGCAATTTCATTAGTCTGTTATTCATTTATTTACTAGGATATAATGATATATGTTTAAATTGCATATTAATTACTTAATATACTAAAGCTTTTGTATAAAGTCTTCAATTTGAATTTTAGATGTACATGGTATAGAATCTCATTCATTATATCCATTTTTCCATGTTTTGCAGTTATGGATCCTTCTTTGGGCCTTCACAACCAGTTATTGCTCAAAGAGTAATTCAAGAAAGCAAGTCATTATTGGAAAACCACCATTTGGCACCCAAAGTGTCAAAATCCAATCATGATGTGGGTACCATAGTAAGTCTGTGGTTTTGTTATGGTTGTACATTCCTGCATGCTGCAAATATGATCTTAGCCTTATGTGCTTTGAATTCATCCCTCATTGTTATATCATCAATCCTAATGATAATCAGTAGATCGTTAATTTTAGAAATTGTGAGGATTGGCCTAAAGTTATGGTGGGAGGAAAGCACCTCGATACTCAATTTAGAGGTTAAATTCTAAGTTTTTTGTCTTAAAAAAATGTGTGATCCTTGATGGCACACCTGATACGTTGCATTGGTAGAGTTTTTATCAGTTGGCTTCTTTGCTGTCTTTTTATTATTTTATTTATATTGTTGGCTTCATATATTTTTATATTCATCGCATTTATTTGAATTAAATGGTGATTATTGAGGTGCTATTGTCCATTAAAAATTGTCTCCCGAAGGATTTTGGCAATCAGAGGATAGAAATTTCTATGGACTTCATCAATTTAGTGTCGACTGTCAAGGAGTACTCATTTTTTCAGATAGGGGGTTCTTCTTGGGATTGCTTAACCTTTTGAGTATTGAGGTTTATACCTCGCCTTGCAGTTGCAATGTTGGATAATTAGTTTTGCTTCCTTGTTTTAACAAAATATGGTTGGCACATGATCTTGTAATCTAATATTCCCGGGGATTGGGCTGATTCCTAGTCTGTCTGTTATTTGGGCCAGCCAATGGATCCTCCCCCATATTCCCTGAACCTGCATAGTTTGTGGGGTTTGGAAGACATATAGGATGCAGATGTGCTAAAGAGATAATTTTTCATCGCTTTTAACTTCATTTTGAGATGTAGTCTAATCAATTGATGACCCCACTTGTCCATGTAGAAAAGCAAGAGCCTTGCTTCAACCACTGCTGGATCAAAAACTCAAGCTCGTAACCACCATCCTAAAGTTGTAAATCAGGTTAGTAAAAGAAATCATTTGTCGATTCTTTCCTATAACTTCAATATAGTTTCTAATTTTATTAATTTCATGGTTTTTTTTCCTACTTATTTGTGCAGTTAAAAACGAAAGTCCAGAAACTTAAGGATACAAGAGATTATTCTTTTCTATTATCTGATGATGCAGAGCTTCCAGCTCCCACAAAAGATCCTCCAATTCGAAATGTCTCTGTTCCAAATTCTGGTGTGTTGCTGCTTTACTACACCATATCTGATTGTTGATCTAAAAGCTCAAAACATACTAATTTATTGAGAAAACTTTTTAACTTTTAACTTTCTTTTTTTGTTTTTTGTGTTTTTGTTATGATGTTGAAGAGGCAAGATCAGCTCAAGTGCCACCAAAGAGCAGACAGTGGTCAACTAATACTGGTAGACAAGTTCCCAATAGTCGCGAGGAGAGGAAACCTATGTCAACAGGTAGCCAAACGCATCCTAAAACTGGGCCGCGCAAGTTAATTTCTGCCGGTAAGCCCATTCCAACATCGGTTGACTCTAGAAAACAGCTTGGAAACAATAATGGAAGCGGGCCAGGTCGGCCTCTAGGGCCAAAAGGCTTGCCTTCTAAGATGCCAGCAGCCACCACAGAGAGGAGGGTTGCTGCACCACAACGGCAGTCTTTGGACCAGAAACCTAGTGTGCACAGGCCCCCTTCTTCGAAGTTGCACTCATCTGCTCCAAAGCAAGCTTCTGTTCCAAAGCAATCCTTGGACCAGAAAAAGGAAGTTCAGGGATCTAGCAGAGGAAAGATGATGCCAAAACAGCCAGTTCCATCCTCTAAACCACAGGTCTAATCTCATTTACTTGTGCATGTACAACCGTTCCTGTATATTTTATTACCGAGATATCTCAATTTGTCACTTTTTTCCCTCCTGTCCTTGCATGAATAATGGATACCTGCAGCCATTTTCTGGTTGACATGTCCTTATATCCAGGGAAAGTTGATAACATTTTTTACAATAAAATTTGTCCTTGCTTGACTTACTGACAGATAAACAAGCAACCTGCGAAAATTCCATCTTGCCCTCCGTTGAGAGAGGACCACCCAAAGAAGAAGCCTGTCAGACCATACGACGATGATGATGTGGATGATGATGATGATGAAGGTGGAAGAGCAATAAGCATGATTAGGAGTATGTTTAGGTAAGTAGCCTTCTGTTTTTTCTTGGAGTTTTTCAATCATAGAATCATTTCTAGTGTTGGTGCGCAATAGTTTAACAAAGTTTAAATTTACCTGAATGATAGTGGGGTTTACTTATGTAGTTTGTCTTGTTGGAGATATATACATACTAACATCATTTATTATTCCATTTTTTTAAAATTTGCTTTCTTATTAATCTGGGATGGATGTAGTTGTTATTGGGTCCATTTGGACAGAAGTGGATTTCAAATCAAGGGATTTGAGCTTAATAATACTTAAATTTAGGCATGATAGTTTACTCATGAATTTTAAGATGGAGTTAAATAGCTTTATGATGATGGATTTAAAAAACTATATAAAACTAGTTATTTGAAATCATGTTAAGCTCTCTCTTTTTAGCTATAAGGATTCTACTTGTCTTCTTCCTTTAGGCATGATAAAGTATATAAAACCCATAAATTTAAGATTAAATAGCTTTATTGTGATGGATGTAAAAAACTATATAAAACTAGTTATTTGAAATCATGTTAAGCTCTCTCTTTTTAGCTATAAGGATTCTACTTGTCTTCTTCCTTTAGGCATGATAAAGTATATAAAACCCATAAATTTAAGATTAAATAGCTTTATTGTGATGGATGTAAAAAACTATATAAAACTAGTTATTTGAAATCATGTTAAGCTCTCTCTTTTTAGCTATAAGGATTCTACTTGTCTTCTTCCTTTAGGCATGATAAAGTATATAAAACCCATAAATTTAAGATTAAATAGCTTTATTGTGATGGATGTAAAAAACTATATAAAACTAGTTATTTGAAATCATGTTAAGCTCTCTCTTTTTAGCTATAAGGATTCTACTTGTCTTCTTCCTTTAGGCAACCAAATATCTTAGTCGCCAATTGACACATTTCGCGACCAAAAAGTTTGGTCGCCAATTGTGACATTCCACGACCAAAAAATTTTGGTCGCCAATTGTGACATTCCATGACCAAAGATTTTGGTCACCAATTGTCACATTCCGCGACCAAATTGTTTGGTCACCAATTATCACATTCCGCGACCAAACATGCTTTGCGCAACTAAAACTTTAGTCGGCAATAGACCTATTTGCGACCAAATCCTTTTGTTGCCAAAATTAATAATTTTAACGACTAATTATTTAGTCGCCAAATGTGCTTGGTGATACACCGACTACTTTATTTAGTCGGCAAAAGTATAACTTATCTTTCCCGACTAATCAATTGGTCACCAAAACTAGAAAAACAAAACCAAATTTTGGTCGCCAACATCCAACAAAATAAACCTGTAATTTATAATAATCCATTCAACTTATTCAATAAAATCTGTAATTTGCAAAAATCATTCAAACCAACAAATAAATTGAATCATGAACATTCAACAAAATACATATATCAACCATTTCTAAACTTGTTTAATTAAAATCAACAACTATTATAAGTTTTCATCCACAAATAATTCCAAACTTATGTTTTAAATTTTTATCCATGTACATCAACCGAAAAATATAACTAGTAGCCTACCAAATATTTTCTATACATACCCATCCAAAAATATAACTACTAGTCTACCCTAATATTTTTCATATACATCTATACAAAATTATATAATCCTTCAAAAAATGCAAAAAATGCCAATTTGTCCTGTGCAATTTAGCGTTGTGCACGAGTTCATCCATCTGTACAAAGAAAAAGTAAAATAATGTCAGGTAAAAGTGGACAAATAATGAAAAGTGTCGATGAAAAGCAAACGTCACATTAGCAAATTAAATGACTTTCATTATCAAATTGTAAATAAAACAATAGCATTCTTATAATTGTGGTTGTAAATAAAACAAGTGTGTACTCAAATTGTAAATAAACATCGTTCTTATAATTGTAAAACAATAGCATTCTTTTAATTGTGATATAGGGGTGCTATTGTTTTATTTAGGCTGTATATGCTTTCTTTTCTCACTTCAGTTGTGCTAGTCGCACAGAGGAATTTTCATATAATAGATTATTAAAGAGGCACAAGGTGATCCACATGTGTTTATTCCTTGTGCTAGAACCCTTACCGTATTCTTCCAACACCCAATACATTGATCCAGAAGGTAGTAAGATGGAAAAAATACTAGCAAGCCATCCGGCACAATTCAAGCAAAATTGACTGAAGCATCAGAACCATGGAACAAAAACTTCATGAAATAATTATCATACTAATGAGGCTACTGACTTCAGAAGGAAGATTGATTTAAACAAAGCTTCATTTGCAATTTTCCGTGTAAAAAATGTAAACATCTTCAGTTAAGTGCAATGAAAAGCCAAAATTTTCCTCCATCAGGGAAACAAGTCAGGTTTTAAAAAAGTCATATTCTTCCTGAACCATCAAACCCCAAAACTATCCATGCACAAGGTATTCAAATCATTTACAAAGAGATAGTTTGTGATACATGTTTATCATTACATAGAACCCACAATCTTAATACCTAATTATATACCAGTAGCATTGCCAAGCTCTAGCTTGTACTCTACAGAATCACGGCTTTTATATGAGGAGTTGAAAGAGTAACTAGATGGACCAGCTGATACAACTCCAGCCCATATCTGATTTGCAGATATAACATGAGGATTCTCCAAACGAACAGGAAATTTTCTGACATGACAATCAAAGAATGACGGAACTTTTTTTCTTTTTATCAATTTCGGAACTCATGACACAACCAAATAAACACTAAGACCAATCTGTCTAAAGTGACTTACAACTTAATTCCTGAGCAAATGAATCCATTGGAGATAATGTGCCAGATGTCAAAATGATGGATCCAACACCCAACTGGGAAAATTCTTCCATGGCAATTCCTGGATTAAAACACCACTAGCTGAGTGTTCTAGAAGCCTTACCTGCTGCATGAAAATCAATGAAAATATATGAGGTATAGGGCAAGAATGCATGTCTTCAATTGCATAGAGGAGCAAGTCTACAAGACTAGACCATTCCAGAATTTGTTGCTTTGATACAAGGCAAAGGAAAACTATACCAGTTTTGCACATTGATGTTAGGACAACACAAAACTATACTAATCATTGTTAATATTTTTTATTTTTGTCTCTCACCATGATGGGTATTTATTGAGTGACACATGTCAAACAGTTATGACCTCTAAGGTACAAATGTTACTGAGTTTACAAGGTGCAGACTGCTAAAAAGCTTAATTCCTTTGTAGATATCAGCATCTGATGGTGAAAAAGGGATAATCAGGTGCAATTTGGGGTCCATACTAGTCGAAAAGTGTAGCATATTTTTTTGGTTGACCTTCAGAATCCTCTACCTTTCAACACCCATGTTTTAATCTACTATCTCGGAGACATCACAAATGAGTTGGACACACCCATGTTTTAATTTACTATCTCGGAGACATCGCAAATGAGTTGGACACAACAAGTAATTTGAGCGCAACTCATATTTGATACATTAAGAGCATATTTAAATGAGCAAATTATAATATAGAAATAAAATTATTAAATTATAGGACTCATATTTTAGTATTTGATTTCAATTTCTATTATTTGAATTAGATTCCGATGAAAATTTCATTCAATAAAGTTGACAGTTTTTTAATCATACAATTAATAACACAAAACAAACATATAATTAGGATTATATATTTTTATATCTATTGCAAAACAAATGTGACAAGAGTGAGTTATTTACCCCACTAATTCAACTGGATAATTATTCCTACACTAATCATATGGATTATTAATCTTCTCACTATTAATCTCACTAATCAAATAAGACCTAAAAATTCATTTGAAATTTTGATTTATTAGGTTGAAAGTTAAGTTTGAACATATTTTAATGATTGTTAATTTTGTGAGTTGAACTTAAATTCGGTCGATAATTTTATATTCACTATAAAATTGCATTAAAAAAATAATAATAATAAATAAAAAACTTGAATCTATTCTTGAGATCAGCTTGAAACATAATAAACAAAACTCAGAACTCATTTTTTAAACTTGTTAAAACTAGTTTTAAACAATTCACTATTTGACTCAATTCGACTTATTTATAGTCCTACTCAAACATCCATGATACATTGTTTGATCCAATTTTTGAGTTTAGAGTTAAAAGAAGACATCAATTGTAGAGGAACAAGACCTCAATTCAAGAGATCTTAATCAATGCATGAAAATTCAAAGGTTAAAAAGGAAACAAACCTTTTGTTTAGGAATGGAAGGAGAAGTTTATGCCAGTGCCCTTTTTTTTTTATAGGCAATGGACAAATTCTTTGTGCCTAACAATTTTGAGTTATAAGCTAAGATAGATTCAACTCTTCACATTCTTACTTAAAAGGGTGGTCAAAAGATTGAAATCTAAAAAGGAAAATTTTATTCCAGTGGAAAGATGTCATTACTACAGACACCTTATTATAGAAAGATTTCTCTGATGTTAAAACAAATGTTAGTTTGACAGTTTAGTGTAACAATTGACTCATCCCACTACAAGAGTTAGTTTGACAGTTTCCTTTGTGATTCTCACTGATTAAAAAATATCATACTTCCTCTCCGCAATTTTAGGTTTTTGAATAATAGAATACATAATTAAGATTGTGAATTACAAAAACTGTTTTCTCAGGAGGCCAATCAAAAAACTGAGCACATATCTGTTGAGTATTGGTGTGTTGAAACGGATGCAGTGCAAGAACCCTACAAGATTTAGGTAGTTAATGTTAGAATGTTTCATTACTTTCTTCTCTCTTTTTTTTCTTTTTTTTTTTTTCCTTTTTTTACTTGGGCAAGTTCACAGCCCTGTTTCCAAAACAGAAATAGATGGAACAAAGCAAGCAATGTTAAGTTGTTTATTAAAAAAGTCAATTTTTTTTATTTCATATTGGCCACATACAACAGCAAACTATTATTTGTTTGTATGTTTTTACGAGGCTCATAGCTCTCCCTACTAAATGAAGTAATTACAGTAATGCTTTCACCACGTGGTTCTTAAATATCATTCAACAAGAATCGCAATACCTGAAGTTCATGTTCATTAAACATGTCAATCCAATCTTTCTCTATAAGCTGTTGAAATCCCCTCATAAAATGGGAACTTTGTTGGCGTATCTGAAAATTATATCACAACATCATAATTATAGGAGAAAATGATCAAATTTGAAAACAAACTTAATAAATGAAAGAGGAAAACCCTTGCAACCTGAGAATTCAAACGATGGTTGGCTATAAGATGAATAAATGTAATGACATTCTCATTAGTAACACGTATGCTTTTCCCTCCAGGAAGCAACTCTGCTTCTGTTTGCTCTCCATATTCATTGTTCACAATAACAAAGTACAATTCCAACTTTGAAGTATCACCTTCATAATGCTGTACATCAAACAAAAGATAAATAAATAAATCAATAAATAACACGAAATTACACAACCACCCGATTGGCCATGAAATTGAGCCACAAAATAACAAAAGGTGATTATTCTAACTTCATCCTACCATTTGTGTACACTTCATTTTCTTCAGTGATTATTCTACGGGAGATTTTCTTGCCTTGTAAAATGCAATGGAAAACTGAAACTTTTCCATTTGCATGGACATCCAAAGATGTCAAAAAATTTGTTTGGTTGACAAGAAGATAATATATACAGATTCAATTATAACTTCTGGTTGGATAGGCAATAACAATGTTCAAACAATTCATCTCTTAGCTTCATCAATTTTGCAAATCAATGAAGCATAAGATTTCACTAAAAACTATTGCTCAAAGAAGAGAGCAAGGGAGAGGGAGAAATATCACCTTTAAGAAAATAAGGTGGTGATATAACTCTGGATCCAGGGAAGGTAAATCATTCAAATAGTTGTACCTGCTCAACAAAATTTTGGATGCATCAAAATTAAAAACTAAAATTAAAGCATCAAAATAGATTTCAAAACTAGAATTCAAAACTAAAAAATATAACACCTGCTATGAGGCAATTTGGGTCCCCAAAAGACTCATCTTTTATATGCAGAGATGGTCCTGAAATTCAAAACTATTTCCATAGGACCATAATGTGTACGCAGATACATATAAAGCATGTGTGGATTTTTTCCACAATTTTTAGAAGGGCAGTGGAAGTGGGAGTGTGGAGGAGAGAGAAAGAAAAGTGATATAAGGTTGATCATCTGCAAGAAATTCTTTTTCCTTTTATTTCTTGTGTTTTTGATAAATAAGAATATACATTGTGAATGCCACATGGGTGCAACCCTACTTTTGCTTTAATTTGCTCAAGAAGAACGTTGCAAATGGTATATCAACAAGAATCCCTTCAAACATCACCTGCAGTGATTACAAAGAGATATAATGTCCCACTGTAAAGCACCATAAGAGAACAAATATAGACAGCACAGAGAACAATTCCACTGTCATTGTTTCTATATAATGTCCCACTGTAAAGCACCATAAGAGAACAAATGTCATTTTTAATATAGACAGCACACAGAACAAATATAGAAACAAACTCAATAGTTTAATTTATCTCATTTGCTTTCAACCATGTTCAGTGGTTCTTCTACCTAATCTTTTCCATTGTAGATGTTTGTCCTGTCTGTGCTTATTAGAGTAAAGGAATCATAATGAAGATTATCCAATTAACATATACACAAAATACTTAAAATCACAAAACTTAAAGAGTCAGTCCATCTGACTATCAACAAATAAAATGTGATCACAAATACGAAGCAAACAATAGGAACCAAAGGGTGTAGAATCCTGTTCGCATCCTGTTCTTCCACCTTGTTTTTATGCAGCAATTCTCATCTTAGTAATTTATTTGCTTCTTCTAATTAATTCTTTATTTTCTTTTTATATTATTTCCTAAACCTACTTGAGTAATACACCATTGATAGGTTAAACAAGTGCATTGTAAAGTAATTTAAAGCAAAGAAACACTTCAAACTAACACAATTATCCCCAAATCTGGGATTTTACACATTCTACACATCAAAAAAGTCATTCCAAAGACCTCCAAATGGAAAAGCCATAACAACTTCCCAAACCAACAATTCATGGGTGGCTAAAGAAACAGAGTGAACTCAAAGTAGAAGAAGAGAAATAGAAAATCAAAAAAATTGATGGAACCCATTAATGGGTTAGGCTTGTGGCTTAGAATTTTGAGAAGCCTAACAGACATTTTATCAAACAGTTTGAAGGCAAGAAAAAAAAAACAAAAAACAAAAAACACAAATCCTTTGTTATTAAAGTTTTGCTTTTAAAAAAATGTACATACACAATCAATTTAAGTTGGGGCTTTTAAAAAAAATGTACATATTCAGTAAAAAAATGGTTTGAAATCACCTTATGATCGTCCAAGAAGACCGAGATGCTAATCTTTTAAGCGAGTTCGCCACATCAAGATTGTCTGGGATGTGAGTGAAGAAGATCAGGACGGGAGAGTGGATTCTCATATCTCTATCCTCATCTGATTGTTTGAGATAGAGTGAGGGTGAGAGTGAAAGATCAATCGATTGATTATGAGAAGAAGAACATGACAACAAAAGCATGAGAATGCAACTGAGAGAGAGGGAGAGTTGACTGTTGGTGACAAAGTTCAGAGATCGTGAGAGTTGAGAAGAAGAGGCACTGTGAATTTGTTAGAGATTGCCGATTGATGAAGGGCAAGTGGAGAAGAGATGGACTGTTGCACTCAAAAAAATTTCAGACAGAGAGAGAGTAAGAGCGGGAGATATTTTATATGGATGGTTATTGGATCAGCTGTAAAACGATCTTACTTTGCGTATACAGACACATTTCAACGTCTCCTTATGGCGAGTGTGGTCTGAGGATATGAGGATCAACGAGAGATCAATGTGGTCGTAGGTCGAGTGTGGTCTGAGGATCTGTGTGACAGAAAGACAGAGGGCAATGGCGAATTTCAAATTCCCGCCCCACGTTTCAAATTTCCCCCCAAACTTTTGGCGACCAAAAGACCAAATTAGTCGCAGAAAAGGTTCCTTCGCCGACAAACTTTTTTAGTCGCCAAATCTCAATCAACGACGACTAAAATATTAGTCGCTAAAAGTACTAATTTGGTGACTAATTTTTTTTTGGTTGTTGAAAATAAGTTTTTAGCGACCAAATTTTTGGTTGTCAAAGAAAAAAATAATTTTTTATTTTTCATTCGGTTTGAATTTTCTTTAAACTGGATATGGCTGCTTTTTGCACCTAATCTGGGGTTGGCTTAGTTTTACTTCTTTGCTGTTCAAAAAAAGAAAGGTTCTACTTCTCTGATTTGGAGGAGTTGATTTTATACTTGTGTGACTTGGGTAGGTATAATTTCGAGGAGAGATAAATTAACTATGAAATATTATGTTTCCTTGACCTAATTTAATCAAAGTGGTGATCTTCATGGCAGGTATAATCCAAGAAAATTTGCCGACGAGGATGATGATAGTGACATGGAGGCAAACTACGAAGATATTATGAGGGAGGAGCAAAGGAGGTTAGTATGGCTTTATTGAATTTAGCATGAAATTCTTGACCATTTTGGTCTAAAATTTATTATTTTAGATATTGTGCTCTCTGGGCTTACACCATTTGCTTGAGTAGCTTTATGTGCTTGTTTAATGCTTACAACCCAGAACACAATTACCCTTTTTGTGTGCGTGCATGGCGCATTGATCATTTGACCGGTTGTCTTGATGGCTCATATATTTGTGATTTTTTGTGATATCAGCGCAAGAATTGCTAGAAAAGAGGATGAAGAAGAACTCCGCAAAATAGAGGAAGAAGAGAGGAGGGAGCGTTTGAGAAAAGAGGCAAAGAAGCGTAAGCTAAGCCAACGATGATTAGCTGGTACACAAAATTTTGTTTGTCGCTAATTCCTTGTTGTCTAATTAGCTGAAGTAACAAAAAGAAAAAAGGGAAATTTTTTTTTCTCCGACCATCTTTTCTTTTAACTTCTCAGAGTAGATGCTGCTGCTGAATTTTATTGAACTTTTTCATTTGTTGAAAAAGTGCCGACTGTAGTTATAGTTTTAATTTTTGTTATGGCCGAGGTGGTTTTTTATTTGATTTATAGATTGATTATTATCTTTTGTTCTTCGGGCAATTAAAAAGAAAAGCAAATTACTCATAAATTTTAATAATTAGATTTAATTTTCATTAAGTCTTATTATTAAAAATAAGTTTTAATAATAAAATCACTGTTAAAAATATTTTTTGTGACGATTTTTAACACCGTTAAAAAATTGACAATTAATAATTTTTTTGGTTACGATTTTTATAAGTTGTTAAAATTTATAATTAGTAATGTTTTTTGAGATAAATTTTTTAAATTATCGTTGAAAGTTGTCAATGAGTGAAATTTTGTGACGATTTTTGTGAATTGTCTTTAAAATTATTTTTTTGTGATAATTTTTAAATTATCGTTGAAAATTAATAATTAGTGAAGTTTGTAATAGTGTGTAATGGAAAAGTGTTATTAATTATTAGAGGATTTATTAGATAAAAATGTACTTATTAGGATCCTCTTCAAAAGAAAAGGCTAGAAACTTTTAAAGCTAGAAAACTTTGTGCGGCTTTCCGCCAACGCAAGTAATTTTTTATATATTAAATTATGGTTTTTAGTTTTTAGCTAGACACGAAAAACATATGAAGAGAAAAAATTCAAAACAGTAATAAAAAATTAAACCAGAGGGAGTTTTGTGCGAGTGTAAAAGAAATGTTGGTATCCAAATCAAACCTGATTTTGCTTTAGTTGTTTTGGTGTTTTTAGGGTCGACATGGGTGTGCTGGGCTGGGCTGGGCTCGCCTCACATTTCGTACATTGTTTTTCGACTCTGATTCGGCTTGGAGCTTCTATTTTATTTTCAAGTTCATCCAAAAGCAAAATAAAAAATTTTGAAATCCAGCCCACAATGTTGTTAACAAGTTTAAAATTTTTGCCACAGGTCAAAGTGGCACTCAATTTCATACACTCTTGTTTGTTATTACACTATTGGTTGAAACTGAATTGCATTACGACATACATACGACAATTCATCTTAATCTTACGTTGAAATAAACTTCAAATATATTTATTAATTTAATTAAATTATATAGATTAAAATGAATCTTGATCTGGAATCAAACAAAGATATTAAAAAACCTTGTATGTTGTAATTTGAAATAAACTAAACCTTTTTCGTTTGGTAATTTTTAATTTTAGTTAAAAAGTTAAAGAAATTATTATAAGTTATTACATTATCCTTTCTATTTTTTTTGCATATGTTCTGGTAAAAAATTAAAAAATTATTAAAATAGCATGTTTTCAAATGAAAAGTGAACAAGACTTTTCATGTACTATCTCAACATTATTGTGTTTCTATCACAAATTAAGATTGCTTATTAAATGGTAATACCAAGCATCACTGTTATATATAATATTTACTCCAATTATAATTGCTTTTGCAGATGCTCAACGGTCCTCCACTTCAATCATAAACGATTAAGCTGTCATAAGTTCACCATGAATTTCATTTTAATTATTTAAACGGTTCTTTTGTAAAAATCTGTGTATATTATTTATGAAAATTTAGGTCTATCTAATAATTTTAATTTCTTTATTTTATCATGTTTATTTCCAAAAAAAGAAACGAAAAGAAGAAAGAGTAATAATTGGACAAGGGGTACCTGCTGTGCTTAAGCACAGCAGGGTGTGCCGTGCATGCAAAAACGCCAGAGATTTTTTTTATTATTATTTATTTATTTATTTATTTGTATGCCCTTTTGGCGCACAACAGTACCTGCTGTACAGCAGGCACCCCTTTCCCGTAATAATTATGTTTTTAAAATAAATTATGATTGTAATTCATTAAGTTTCATTATAATATCTTATTTGAATCAAATCTTTGGAAAAAAAAAAAGACTTTGTATTTTTTTGAATATAAACACGATAAAATAAAAAGGGATAATTTGCCAATGGTTCTATTTGCCCAACTAATGTTTCATTACGCCCCACCCATTTGAAACTAGCCCAAAAAGTCTCATCCCAAGTTTAATCAACCCCCTCTCAGTTTAAGAGGGGAGAGAAATGGAAGTTGAACCGTGTTTGCTTTTGTTTTCCACCAAATAGATAGATATATGGAATATGGGGTATCTCCCCTCTCAAATTGAGAGGGGCTGAAGATTTTGCCAATCCACATTGCGATTTTGAAGATTTCTCTACAAAAGCATTCATAATCGAAACTTCTAGTCTACTTTAATTTTTTACTGCAACTAATTTCGGAGTTTCAAAAATGGCCAAAAAGAGTGAATTACTTCCAATCACACCCTTGAGAGATTTGGACAACAATTTGGAAAGTGAAAAGAAAAATGTCATTCACCCAAAAAAAGAAAAGAAAAATGTGTGTGAAATTAGATAAAATATAGGTATATTTTATTCATATTTTACCTACTTTTTTTTTCTCTAAATTTATTTTCAAATCTCCCAACCAAGCACAGTGTTAATCTGTTGTGATTAATCATTCTTCAATATCTTCTTCTTGGTGTTGATTGTATTGTAATTGTTATTTATAATCTTGTCATTGCATTGCTTATTTGTTCAGTTGTTGCAGCAAAGTTTTTTTTTTTTCTTTTTTAAAATTAGTTGTAGCAAGTCACACTCAATTATCAGTTTTGTATAAATAAATCTACCGTACAATTTAAAAAAAAAAAAACTAAGTTTGAGTTTTCTAACAAAATAAATCTTGAATTTTTAATTTTGTTAATTTAAACTCTAATATTTTGATTTTTTTTTCATTCTAAATCATTCGCTTATTTTTTTTTTAAGTAAAATCGATAGGAAATAGTATTTTAGTTATTAAACTAAATGTAAATATATATAAAATATCTAATTTATTTATTTATTTCTTGAGTTTAAAAACTAAAATATTTATTTTTTTCATCGATTTTATTTAATTAAAATATACAAATAGTTTAGATTGAAAACAAATAAAAAATTTAAAATTTAAATTGATAAAATTAAAGATTCAAAATTTATTTTGTTATAAGAGTCAATTCTTATATATATATATATATATATATATTTATTTGTCAATATTTATTTATTTATTTATAATTTTATATTTAATATTAATCTTATTGATAGATACGTATTAAAAATCGCCCTGCTAAAGGCCTCGAAAATTGAGGCACGAATTTGCCTCAAATTTTTTTTCTATTTTTGCTGTGTGCTGGTTTGGTTTGGTTTGGTTTGGCTTGGCTTTTTTTTTTGTGTGGAAAGGGTGGTAATGTGTACCCTAAACCCCTAAATCTTAAATCTTTAAACACTAAACCTTAAATTCTAAATCTTAAATTTTAAATATAAAACCCTAAACTCTAAATCTTAAATCCTAAACCCTATATTTTAAACCATAAAACTCTAAATTATAAATCCTAAACCCTAAACACTAAATCCTAAACCCTAACTCTAAATCCTAAACACTAAAACCTAAACTCTAAACCTTAAATTCTAAAGCCTAAATCCTAAATCTTAAATCCTAAAATCATTTTTAAAAAATAAAAAAAAAATCAAACCAACACAGCTAAAAAAGAAAAAATTAAAATAAAAAAGACAAGATTCGAGGCATTCGAGTCCTTAATCTTTATTCTTTAAAAATATATATTTTATAAAAAATGAATATGTATAATAGAAATTATGTTATTTTTCAAAAGTAAAAAAAATAAAAAAAAAATGGTAAAATAGTCCACCAACTATATGGGACTTTAGGCTAGCAAGGCCTACGCAATGAGGAGTTGTAGGTAATTAATCCTAAAATTAAAGTGGTAATAATTATTGATTCAATCTAAATTTTTTTTAATAAATAATATGTGTGCATAAAATTTATATATAATTTAAGAATAAGATTTGGCAAGAGGCTATTTTAGTCAATTAGTCAAAAAGTTACTAAATTAGTCAAAAAGTCAACAACTCATACCAAAAAGTCAAAGATTCTCTTTTCTCTGTACTTTTTGCACATCTTTTCGTAATTAGCCAAAAAGTCATCCCAAACATATAAGTTTTTTTTACCTACCTTTTTAGTTAAATAGCCAAAAAGTTACTAAATTAGCCTGTTCCCAAACGAGCCGTATTAGAATCATTTTAAGGAGTTCCTGAAAATTTGTCCTGTCATTGACTTAAGAATTTCAAAATTAGGGATGATTTGGGGTTCTAAATAAGTATATTTTTTGACTTTTTATGAAATATGGGTTAGGTATGGATTGAGTTTGAAATGATATGGTAAAGAAGTGATGTGACTTAAATAAGATGATGTGACTTAAATAGAATAGTGACTTTTTAACTTTTTTAATATATGCCAAACAAGCCCTTAATTGATATGTTTGTAAATTGATCCAAATATCCAAATATAAAAAAAATACAAAAGCTTTATTAAAAAAAAAAACTTGAATGGTTAAAACGAGAACTATCCAATCTAGTCCAATAATGTAGGAAAACTCTAGGGTGTGGGTGCACACCATAGGTAATTTATCACAAATTAGTATAATTTTATCATAAAATTTTATAATATCAATTATAGAATGCATAATCTTGTCATAAATTAAGATAATAAAAAATATCATAATTAATTCACAAATTTATGTTATATAAAATATAAAATTTTAAATATTTTATTATATTAATTTGTGATGAAATTACCTATTTTATAATTAATATTATAAAATTTTATAAGGAGTAATAAAATATGATATGCACAGGGTGCACACCACACGATGTGCTCTCCCAATAAAAAGAGAGTTTTAATAGGTATTAATTTATCTTTTTTTTTTTCACATTTTGTCTTTTATTTTACTATTTTTTTATTTTTTATTTTTTTATATGTGACAGCTCATTAAAATTTTACTGTAACAATTCTAATTAGAGTTCTGCATCACCGGCCGTTTGTTAAAAAATGGGTTTGAATGTAAAGTGGTTTGATATGATGCTGATTTGAAGGTCGCTGCATTTTCTGACCAGACGGTTCAGAGAAAATAGTGCGTCTGTTTGTGGACTTCACAGGCCAGTGGTCACGTTGAGACTTAAAATTTTGTTTATAGTTTTTTTTTTTAAT